ATATTGAAATAAATAGATTTACACATATCACATATCTAACCATTACAATGATATATACACAACATACACACACACATATTTCATGTCAAATTTATATAAGTTGAAATTATCAAATGGATTGCATAAAAGAGTGAGTTAATGAAAAAGTACAAATGAAATATAACTGGAAGAAAGAAAGAGAGCGAATTATTATAGAATTTTTATCATGTGAACTATGACCTAAGCTACAACTAAATTAGTTTATTTTGCTTGATTTACAACCATACAGAATATTAATATAAAATTTAGTACTTTTATCGTTTTATTTCTCATTAATAACAGACGAATAAAATTATTGAAATTTTTGTAATTTAAACATCTTCAATTCTATTAAATTAATTTATTTGATTTACAATTCTATATATATAATATTAATATTATCATAATTACTGAATTAAAGATTTTTCAAATTTATCGTTCCAATATTAATTGTTGCAATTACAGCATTTATATAAATGATTATTTTAGCAATACTATTAGGATTATTAAAATTATACCGCAACTTTTTGCTTTTCTAAAATTCATATATTGTTTTTGTAAAAATAACTGTAAGCTATTCAGTTTAATAAGAAATGAATAATCACAAAGCAATTAATGAAATTAAACGTAAAGCATTAAATTTGAATAAATTTTGAAATTCTAACAAATGCATTTTATAGTATTGTTTTCCAGGAAATGAATGATAATAGAATTTTGCAAAAAGATTAAATGAATTGATAAATTTGATAATGATCATTTAAATAACACTCATAGTGTTTCGTTTCAAAAGTGAAATATTTCTGTATAATGTAAAATGAACATTAAGATTATATTACAGCAACTATATGAGGTCAAATTAGCTAAGTGACCAATAAGAGAGAAATAAGAGAATGCGATTATTGATTAAACTTGTTTATTTATTCAAAGACATAGCTTAGTAATAAGCGATCGATATGTTTATACAAATTAAAGCTTAATTAATTAAAAATTAAAGTATAATTAATTTTTAATTAATTTTTTGTGCAATTTAAGGCGAATATCTTAGCGATCATTTTTACTGAAATGATAATTATTGCTAAACCGCTTTGTAAAATAATTTTTACAGCATTAATGAAATAATTTCATAAAGGTATATGAAATCAATGAATGTATTAAAAAAAATGAATTTCAGAAATAGCATAAAATTAAAATATATGAAATGTTATAATCAAATTTAAATATAATTTGTTTCCGATACATATTCGATTAAGCAATCATTTAGAAGATAATTCTAGTAATTTCCCCCGAACTAAAATCTTTATAATATAGAACGATATGACAAAAAATTAAAGAAAGAAAATAGATCTTCAATGACCTTCGAAGGGTCATACGTTTTCTAGATGAAATTCATCAAACGAATGAATAAAAAGTGTAATTTTGAAATGAGTGGAAAGAATTTTGTAAATATTCAAAAGAATAACAAAAAAGGGAAAAATTTTGATAACAAACTGAAAACGAAATATTTTTAAAAACTCTTCAGTTTTTCGCTCTTCTCTTTTCCTCGGATATAAGAAAATTTTAATTCAGAAATTAAATGTTTGAAATTATTTTAGATTTTTAAAATACTATAAAAGATGCTGCTGAATATTTTGTTGACAGTAATAAATGATAAAACTTGAATTTTCAATGATAGATAAGTGTAGGAAAATTATAATGACACTATTATTCCATTCATTCAACAACCATATGAAATATAATTTATTTCATTCAATCTTTTAATTTCAAATCAATAGGGTAATAAGTTTGATGGATAAATGACTATCACTTAGATAAATGATTATCACTATGATTATCACTTAGATAAATGGAAAAAAAAGATAAAGTAACAACTTAGTTAGACAAATGATTATCACTTGAGATAAAAAGATAAAGTAATAAGTTAGAAAATGGTTATCACTTAGAAAAGTGATTATCACAGATAACTCAATAATTTTTGTTTTGCTAAAACGATCAAGCTTTCTATAAAATATAAAAAATTTCATTTATTAATATTAGAAAATAATTATGCACATAAGCGAAGCTTTTAGAAAATAACACTAACCTTATTAAATATTTTAATTTTATTAGATTATTTAAAATTTTAAAACAGATGAAATAATTGCAATTTTAAATTTGAAAATTTAAAAGGAGAATTTTAGATTATAATAAATTTTGGTATTGCAAAAAATTGTGATAGTTAATAATTATAATTTTATTTCTGCAAAAGAAACAAATATTCTATTTTATTTTTTACATTTGAATTTTTCAAATTTATCGTTCCGTTTTTATCGATGAATAGGTAAAATAGTAATAATAGTTAGTAATAGTAATAAAAGTATAATAATAGTAGTAATAGCTAATATATTAATTTGGTAATAATAGTATAATAATTTATTATTATCCTTTATATATAAATACATATAAAGATATTCAATTCGAGTCTTATTCATATTATGAATTATTAGACTATTTACTACTATTGTATTATTGATTATCGTAAATAAATAAATAACGAAATGAGTAAGAAGAGAAAAAAGAGGCAAAAATTGAGAAGAGTCATCAGATACAATAGTAAATAACGGCAAACGCATGGTCCCATTATTTTATGCGACACATTGAGATGACCTCGAACCTGTCACCTCATCCGCTATTGTTGTAATAGCATGAGTGTAACGTCGAAAAAGCGGGGGGGAGCAAGAGATGTAGGAATGAAGAAGTAGTAATAATGATTGCAAGGCATATAAATAATTAAAATTTGTTGATATACCAAAATAAAAATTCCATTTGACCTCGTCCTTTTTTTTTTTTGAACTTTTTGATTACAGATAGATAATTTTAATATTTTTTTTAATTAGTCTCATATTAATTACATTTTTTATTTCCTTTTTTACTTCTACACTTTGATGAAATCATTTAAACTAGCATTTATTTAAACAATTGATTAATTATAAATTGAATAATAGTAAAGGAATTATTTTGCACCTAAAAATTGCATATAAGATAGTATATTTTATTCATTAAAAAATTTAAATGTTTCATCAGAAAAATGCATCGTAAAATAAAAAATGGAAATATTTCAAATTTGAAGGACAACCAACAAAAGAACGAAAATTTTTTGTTGTTGTTGTTTACTACAAGATAACTTTTTAGCCAATGATATATGTGATATGTTGAAAATTTAATTTCATTAATTTCATGTTCAGGAATTTGCCGTTATTCGATAATTTTTAAATTAATTGTGATTTGATTACAATCTCTCTTAGCATCTATGATTGAAATTGTGAAATTTGAATAAGAATTCATATCTAAAATTTTAATCATTTATATTTAATTCAAAGTAAAAAATAATTACTCGATATGAATAATTCGTGTTCCAATTATTTCGCTGTCAAAACAACAAAAAGTATTGTCTTAATTTAATTTTTATTATAAAATAACTTAGACAAAAGTTTTTTCATTTCTTAAAATATTAAAATTATCACAAATAATTTGCAACGATATGTGATGAAGTTTATTATATTACAAACGAAATAATTGCGATAGTTTCTTTTTTGTTTGCAATTATAATATTTAAATTCAAAATAAAATATTATGAGCTGTGATAATTTGAGCAATTTAAATTTGTAAAATAAAATTAATTTGCTAGTGATAGTATGAAATTAGGATAGTGTATAAATCTAATTAAATTAAGAATGTATCATTGAAAAAGGAAGAGAAAAAATAACGATGAAATTAATCGTTGTATTTGTAAATTGTAATCGTTGAATCATTTTTAAACAATAAAATGAATACAATTAACGACCTCTGTTTTATGATTTAAATGAGTGTAATGTTTTTGTATAAATATTGTGACAAATACTTCATTCAATGTATGATTTCAATTTAAAATTATTATCAATTTATTTCAACATTATTTCAGATTAAAATTTAAATTCTAAAATTTTTTGTCTAAGTCTAACTGGTTCCAGAGTAATTAATTAGCTGCGAATTTATTTTAAAATTGATTTTAATTTTATCTGTAGTAGTCATTCATTTCTTTCTTATCTTTTTTGTATTATATTTACCGACAAGAATAGTCGGAATGATATGATTTAGCAAGTTAACACACACACACACACACATACATCATTGATCAATAAAACATGTTGATAAAAGAAATTTATCGTTTCATTTTAATCATCGTTATCATTATCATTATCATTATCATCGATAACGCCAACAATAGTAATGACAATGAAAATAGCGATGATATTAACCATCAATGCAACAATTTGTAAACGTACATTATGAATGACAGACAAATAAAATCAATGAAGGCAACAACCGCGTCGCCTTTCACGCCGAAATTTCATCATCGCAAATGAACGAATGGGTGGTTTTATCGTCGCGACGTATTTATTCAATTCATCGATTTTTATTATTATAACTTATATGTATTAAACTATGTGTTCAATTTGCTATATTTTATTTTTAGTTATAATTATTATTTCAAACTTTTCGATATTTTAATTAATTTTTGATATTTCAAATAATTATTCAAAATCTCTATCATTTCATGCAAATTTAATAATATAAAATATAAATTATGTCTTATTTTTTTAATTATGTTAAAATGTGAAAATTATAAATTATCAAATTGTTAAAAGACATTTTTATTACAAATATTATATGAACCATAAAATAAATTATTCGAAAAAATTTCTCCGTTATTTCTTTTTAAAATGAAATTGTATATTAGTATGAAGAAATTAAAATCGTTAAGACTTTTGAAAACAATTTTTGTAATTGAATAATTTAATACAATATTCAAATATTTGTTAATAAGATAGAAATGTTATGTTAGAAATAATTTTTATCTCAAATTTGGATAGAATTTTTTTGTGTTTTGATTTGATTAAATATTTTTTCATTCATTAATTATTTTCAGTTATTAATTATTAATTGATTAATAATACAAGCAAAGAATGTTTACATCAAAAGAAAAGTCAAAAGTTTATGTTATTGGTGTTGGAATGACTAAGGTAAACAATTTTTATTAATTTTTTAATATGCTATGTTAATTTCTATTTTCTTTTTCAAATTTTATGCTTTAGATATTTAAGAAAAAAAGATGCCTAAAAATTAATCTTATCATTTCAATTATCAATTTCATTGTGATAAATGATATGTTAACATAACATTTTATACTTCAATTTTGTGTCTAAAAAATTTAAAAAAATGAAATCGAAACATTTTTCTCTTTTGTTTTTGAAATATAAACAAATAAAGTTAAAATATGTTGATTTAGAAATTTTCCGGTAAAATCAGGTTTTAAAAGAAATCAATAAAGATAGCGAAGGATAAAAAATGAAATAGCAAAGAATAATAAATTTACGCAAAAAAAATTTTGACAAATAATTAACAAAATTTAATATCAAATTTGTTAATTTAAAAATTATTTAAATGAGTGATTTTTGATAAGAATTAAAATAGAATTGTAATTTTATTTGATTTTTTGTGTGTTGTTAAAATCCCCTTTTCCCATTTTATATATTTCACATAATTAAAACTTATTCTTTTTTCCTCATTTCAGTTTACAAAACCAGGATCAGTACCAAATTTGGATTATCCTGATATGGTAAAAGAAGCAGGCAAGGCATTTTTCATATTTTTGAATTTATAAAATGATTATAGTTTTGATAAAATCAATCAACTTTTTTCTCTCATATTTTTTTCATGGATTGATTAAAATTTTTTAAATCAAATAAATGAACTAAAAATTTTTAGGTCAAATTTCTTTGATACATTTTTATCATTTACTTCCTTTGATATTATCCGACTACACTGCTATCCTGATCGTTAATAGCAATTTAAAATGTGAATATTATTTCTTCAGACTATTCATATTATAGAGTTTATCACATTATCCACAAATCTATTACAGTAAATAAAGCCTTATCGGATGCAAAGCTACAATATAGTGATGTGGAACAAGCAGCGGTTGGTTACATATATGGTGGTACCTGTTGTGGACAACGAGCACTTTATGAAATTGGACTTACCGGAATTCCAATTTACAATGTTGGTTATTTATTTCAACTAATACATATCAATATTTGAAAAAAAAATTTAATTGCGATGAGCATTTCGATATTTTATATTTTATAGTATTTAATCAAAAACTATAAAATTATTCCTTAGCTTTTTTCCCAATCAGAAGTTAATAGTTTTAGTAATAATTTGGGAAGAAGAAAGGAATAAACGAGTAATAGTAATTATCGTAATTAATTCCTATGGAAGTTAATTTTATTTTAATCACTTAGCAAAAAAATATTTGATAAATTTCAGGTGAACAATGCGTGCGCTAGTGGTTCAACAGCTGTTTATCTCTCAAAATTATGCATTGAAGGAGGTTAAATGAAATTAAAATTATAGCAAAAGTTAATAAAAGTTGTATCACAGTTATCATACAACTATTGTTTAATTCCAATAATTAATATAATATTTTAAAAGTTCAATTAATGGAATGAATGAAAGTTTATTTGATATCTTTAATAATATATTTACTGTAGAATATATCTGTATAATTATATAAATTAAATTAAGATTGCTAAAATAATCCTTATATATCTCATTCTTTACGATTCATTAATTGATAACTGCTGATAACATTTCAAAAAGTTTATTTTTAAATTTTTTCCTTAGTTTAAAATTTTATTTATTTTTAAGTCGACTTATTTCTAAAATGATCCATTTATTAATTAATACACCAAATAAATTAATTTCTTTCCAATTTAAAATTTTGCATTTATTAACAAATTTACCTGCAATTTTTTTTCTATGTGAACTTATCCACCTATCAAGTATATAAACCTGTCCTTAATTTTATAATTAATTGTAAAATAATAAAAAAAAAATTAGTTTAAAGTTTTGTATCCAACAATTAAATCAATTTAAGCTATTCGTAGAATATTTCAGGATTATTGCATTTGTTAAAAATTTATTTATATTTTTTCAGGTCATGCAGATGTAGCACTTGCAGTTGGTTTCGAGAAAATGAAAAAAGGTTCATTGGAATCAATGGAAAATATGGATGATCGAACACATGCGCTAGAATATCATATTAATGTTATTTCTAGCACAAATGGCCTAGTACCGGTACCACTTATGGCTCAAATATTTGCTAATGCTGGACGAGAACATATGAATAAATATGGTATTCAGTTCTTATTACATATAATATATTAATAATATATATCAATTCTTATTACATATAAATGCATATAACATATAATATAACTTATTACATGTAATATATAGTATATTACATATAATATAATTCAAATTTTATTTTTATAATATATATTTATTAATTTATAAGTAATTTTATATCAAAAATTAATCCTTTTCTTGTATAATTTCATAAATTACTTGTTTATTGAATTTTATAAAATGTCACTCTTTTTCTCTTTTCTTTCAATGAAATGAAATTTGAAGAAGTAAAAATTAAAAATTTGATGAAAAAGATAGAAGAAATGAAATGGTATTTTTGTATTTAATTTTTCATTCAATGAAATCGTATTTTAATTTTAGTTGAAAATAATTAACGAATGGTACCATTTAATTCTTTTTAGGTACCAAAAGAGAGCATTTTGCTAAAATAGCTCAAAAGAATCACAAACATTCCATTAATAATCCGTAAGTTTGTTTGCTATTCATTTTAAAATTTGACATTATCGATAGTTTAAAAAAGAAAGCAACAAAAGTGAAGAATGTGAGAGATAAAGAAAATGTGGAAAATATTTGGTATAATTTTTAATTTATTAATTTATGCTAATTTCAGTTTAAAATAAAAGTAAAATCATAATCGGAATCTATCAAATTCTTTTGCAAAATTTAATTCGTTTCATTTTACTATTATTTCTTTTAATTTTGTCATTAATTACCTCTTGAGGTTTTAAAATATCATATCATTTTAAATCAAATCATTTAATTCACTGATATGATTGCTAATACTTTATTTTGCTAATGAAGTTATTTATTTTAAATGCTATTTTCATTTGCTATTTATATCGCTGTTTCTTTTGCTTATAGAAATTCACAATTTCAAAAAGAATACAGTTTGGAGGAGATTTTGAATGCACGAGTAATTCATGATTTTATGGGTCTTCTAGAATGCAGGTTAAATGAATTTCATTCAACAATTTACCTGGCAAACAAGGGCAATTTAAATTGATGATATTAAGCGTTTCAGATATTTTTTCCATTTTCTTAGCAAATTATCCTGAATTGAGGTCAATTATTATAACTTTAGCAAAAGTAGCAATTATTGTGAAAGGGGAACGAAAGCTTTATATTTGCTGCAATGATATTTATTAATGTTTATAGTACACCAATACTTATTTTCTTGAAAGGAAATCTTGGAAAATTTTTTGAAACAAAAGGATGAAATTTGTTATTTTTCAGTCCAACATCAGATGGTGCAGCTGCAGTAATTTTATGTAGTGAAAAATTCTTAAAAAAATCTCCTCATCTTTCTAAACAAGCTGTCGAAATTATTGGTAATATATTTGTTTGAAATTTTTTGAACTTTAAATGTATCAAAAATTTGAACAAATGCATTAGTTAATTAAAATTGAAAAAGTTAGATACGGAAATATATTTCGAGTTTGACATAAATTTAGCTTGAAGAATTTTAAATCAAATAAAAGTTATAGATGTAAAATGTGACCATTCTCTTAATTTGATTTTTATGTAGTAAATTTTATATTTCACTTAAAATCATAATGAAAAAGTTTTTTGTATATAAATATATTTCGATAGAAATATTAAACGATAGCATACGTAATAATTAAATAGATGAAATAGATTAATTAAAACCTAGAAATGCCAAAATTTAACTATATCATATATATTCCATGTGTTGATGATCATTAAACAGATATCATTTTTGTTGCAAATATATTTTTACCATATTAAATAATAAAATAATACAGGTGCTGAATTGGGAACCGATGAACCATCTGTGTTTGCTGAACATTCAAATATAAAAATGATTGGCTTCGATATGATACGAAAATTATCGACAAGATTATATCAGAAGACAGGTTTAACGCCAAACGATATACAAGTATGAAATTGACGAAATTAAACGAAATTAATCATTTCTTTCTTCTTCTTTTGAGAATTTTGAAATTATCCAGGTAATAAAATATTCGGATATTTTTTGAGAAAAATATTTTAAAAAAAAATTAAGAAATTAAAATTTTAATATATCAAATAAAATGTGATCTTTAATAAAAGATATTAATATTACAGGTAATTGAGCTGCACGATTGTTTTGCACCAAATGAATTGATTTCCTACGAAGCACTTGGCCTTTGTGCTCCTGGCAAGCTATTATTTAGCATATAATTGGAATTTAAATTTATTTTCAGCTTCTTCTATGATTGAATTCTGCAAATATGTATTTGAAATTTTGATATCACTTCATTGTGAAATTGAGGTTTATTATTAAAGAAATGATTTCAAAATTATTGTTTAAATTTAATTTATACAAAAAATATTTTCTGCAAAATATTTTTGAAGACATAGCTCAAATTTTAGAAAAAATAATTGGAAGGAAAATATTATCGATCAGATTACATTTTCCATTTCTAATTAAAAAAAATCGAATTTGAAGTATTTTCTTTTCCAGGTAAAGGTAGTGAAATTATTGATAAAGGTGACAATACATATGGTGGAAAATGGGTCATCAACCCTTCTGGTGGTTTAATATCCAAAGGTCATCCAATCGGTGCAACTGGTATGAATATGAATACAAAAAAGCAAAAATGATTTTCTTCATTTTTTTACTTATTAGATGGCTATTTAAAACTTCACTAATTTTTACTTTTTAAAATTTAGGTGTTGCACAAGTTGTTGAATTATCGCTTCAATTGCGTGGTCTTGCTGGTGCACGTCAGGTGCCAAATTGTAAAGTTGCAATGCAACATAATATTGGTAAATACCATTTATCATCTATCTCAAGCACAATTATTTTAGAATCAGAATAATCTAATTTTTAACTGATCAGTATGCAGTAGTTTCAAATTCAACAATCGATTTCCTCTTTCATAGATTAAGTTAATTAAGTTGAAAAAGGTGATTGATTAAGTTGAAAAGATACTTAAAGATTCTTGATCATTAATACACAGAATCATAATGATGGAAAAAGTAAAATCTAAATTAGAATAAAAGAAATGGATAAGTGCCAGCGCTTATTGATATTTATATCGAATATTTCAGGAAGAGAAATGCAAATTGTAAAAATAAAGGAAAGGAAAAGAGAAAGAGAAATTTAAGAGAAAATAAAATCAAAAAGGAAAGGTAATTTTATTAAGGACTTGGTGGAGCTGGTATGATTGCATTATACCGATTAGCTGAACCATTTCAAACAACTACGACAAATGCTAAAATTTCTGCAAAGAAAACTTTTCTAAGCGATGTCATTTTTGATGAAATTAAAGAACGTGCAAAAAAGGTAATGGAATTTGTTCGTTTCATTAATTGAAATATATTTTCAAAATTTAATTAATGAATAAATTCATCTTATTTAAAATAAAAGAAATAAATTTTTTCCATATTTCAGGAAATGGATTTATCACAAAAAATAAACAGCTCATTTAGATTTATTTTAACTGGGCCAAATAATGATGTCAAAAAATGGGTTGTTGATTGTAAGGTATGAAATTAAACAACTCGCTTTTTATTTTTAATAAATTTTATAATTCATTAAATTGGATATTCGGATATTTTTCTTTAATTAAATTAATGCAATGATAGAATGTTTTGTTTTTTCTTTTGAGTGCCAATCATATATTTTATTGTTAGGTGACACCACCGGTTGTTATTGAAATGGGCGAAGGTAACGTAGATGTCGAAATGTCAATGAAAGAATCTGATTTTATCGAAATTGTTGCTGGGAAATTGCGACCTGATCAGGTAAATATAATTATTTGATACGCAGAATTGAAAAACAATTTATAAGCACAAAGTTTAGTCTGTATCGTTTGTTATAGCACAATGTTCAACATTCAATATGAATTAGTTTTGAAATATTGTCAATAATCGAATTACATCAATCATAAATCGATTTTCTAATTTCCATTTTGTTTTATGTGCTAGTGCTACCTGAACTTTAATTTATTTTCGAACATTTAGGTTATTCCATTTATCCCTCTTATAAGTGGACAATTTTTGTACTATCAAAAAACTTACTACAAACAGGAATTAAATTTCAACTTTTGTATCACCAAATTTATTCATTCTTATTTTAATAACACTAAGCAGTTAATATTTATATGAAATAATTTCAGGCATTTTTGCAGCGCAAATTGAAAATTAAGGGTAACTTAGCAAAGGCATTGAAGCTGCGAACATTAGTGAAACCTGAAATGTTCAAAGCTAAATTGTAATGTTAAAATTTACCAATATTCTATTAATTTTGCTCGTAAGAGAAATTCTTTGAATTTGAGTAAATTATTTGACGATATTTTTTTAATGAACTTTCGCATAATTATCAAATGTATTCATTTTACGTTATAATATATCTTCGTGGCATTGGGGAACAGAATCCATCTGTCACAATATTCTAAGTGCAATTTAAAGCAAAATCACATATCGATGATTTCCTGTGGAAATCATCGATATGTGATTATAACGGAAGTTTTCTAAAAAATGCTATTTATTAAAGCAACATATTATATTAATTAGTAAATAAATGATATAAAATATATTGAATAATTAATAATTATTGATTAATTACCATTGAATAATTAATTGAATAATTAGAAATTAGCCTGAAATAGCCAGAAATTGAATAATTAATTATCAAATTTCAAACTTGAGAATTGTGAATATGCCAAGCTATAATATTGTAATTATATCGGAAATAAAATTAGCAAGTATTATTGTTTTTATTTAAAAACAATGGCATTTGATAGTTGTTGCAAGTGTTGAAGTATTTGAAACTAAAAGAAAATTTAATTAAACTTGGATTTATTTCTCCGAAATTATCAAATTAGTATGTTTTAATAGCCATACTAACCATTAGAGATAAGAAAGGTATTAGGTGTAAAAGTTATCATCTATACTTCATTTACTGGTATCATTGCCAACGTATCTGATTATTCCGACAATACTTGTCAATTTTTTGTGAATTTTTGTATTTTTAAAATTTTGCATTTCACTTTGTCTTCCATTATCACACAATATTTAATCCAACTTTTTGCTATGTATTGTTCAGTTTAAAATAAAATTTTCCTCATACTTTATTTTTGATAACATCGATATTGTTACAATTATTTATTATCCTAATTATCGACAGGAACAGACATCCTAAAAATTTGAAGCTAAAATAGAAATTATGCAATAATAGATAACATTTCATTTGATGGCATATTGCTGCAAGCTTTAAATTAATTTTGCTTACTTACACATTTCTTCCCATTAAAAACAATAATTAGCAAATATATACTAAATTATTGTATTGCATTTTTTTTATTATCACATTTTTAAATTAAACAATTTATGATCAAATGATATAATCATTCCTTATTTATCTCTCATAAATATCACAAAAATAAGTTTATAATGTTGTTTGGTGATATTTATTCCTATAAGTGTTTTATCCTTTCTCCATATTTATTCTTATGGACCATATATTCTTGGAAACTCTAAAATTCCCTACTAACCTATAAGATGATTTACATATATATATAGGGAGAGAGAGAGAGGGAGAGAAAAGAGAAAAAAGAATCGCTTATGATAAACTTTGTCTAACTCATTATTGCCCTCGTTTAAAAATGAAGCAAAAAGAAATAACTCTAAAATCCCTTACTTCCACACTTTTATTTCACATGTTTGACTATCACTTTCTCTCAGTATGATAAGCTAAAACTTAAAATGCCAATTTCTTCTTTCCATTTATAATAGGATAATAGTATCCTAGCATACTCAGAGTTGTTTTGTATATTGAATTAACCAGACAAAACCGAAGAATTCTATAGCTATGCACAAATCATTCAGAAGATAGAATTATTCAGCACCGTATAACTTAAAACCTAATCCACTAATATTTAATGCAGCCACCCGACAATTTCCATTCATGCAAGTATTTACTTAGTTATCCAAACTTTTAAACTTTGGACAATTATTTAAAGTAAAATCTGTGTATCATAGGATGAAGTCTCATCAACTGCCAGCCGATTTGTGGCCTTCAATATTAGTAAATAGAATAAATTAAGTGCTTGAAATATTCCAGATTAAAAGTTGGAAATTCTCTTAAGTCCAAAAAATCATATCCACAAAAAAATTCATCAGAAGTTATATGATCCGGTGAAAGAATTCACCAGAAGTTAAATGACCAGAATATGAACAATTTCTTATCAATCTTTTACTACCGAAATTTAAAATTGCGAGAATGGATGATAATGGAGAAATATATGTTACAATATATGGAAATCCCAGGAAACAATTTTTAGGCGTAGTAGTAATGAAATACTAATTTACTTTAATATAAGTAAACAAATAAACCTTTTGTTGTTAATTCGATTAATACTACGGAACAAATCATAGCATAAAACAACATCAATCTAACGCAATAAAAATCAAAAACCAAAATTTCTATAAAAATGCCAAATTATTCAATATGCAAAATCGGATCAAAAAAACGCCGACACAATCGCATAAAATAAACGCCGAAATTACCGTATTTAATATCATATAGATTAAAGATTCTTGCAACCGCTGACATCTATTAATAACCCTCAATTTGATTTTAAATCAATTTGAATTAAATAGTTCCTAATCGGACACTGCAGCCAGTTTCTGTCTAATTTTTATATATAAAAAATTGTGTATTTCAGGTTGCTTTTAATTATATCGATGGCACACATCATTTCGTTCAGCTTCCTCCTTTTTATTGTTCTCTCGAGCGTTATTTCAGCTCCAACTAAAAATTTCACTGCATTTAATCCTATTGATGATGGCATTCCCAAAACTTACCATTATCCTAGTTATTCACAAGAAGAGAACGCTGCGGCCAATTTCTATCAACTTCCTGTTTTCTCAGCTGATGTCTCCAATCAATTTGCAGTACTTCAACCGAACAATTGCGATAATGTGGAATTCTCAAAAAGCAACGATATCTTCTATATCTCTGATTTAACGCCATTACAGTCACATACTATTTCTGCTAACAAAGGTAACATTAAGATTTTGTTTCAATGAGTATCGTGCAAAAAAAGGGAACGGTTTCGCATATTTCCAGAAAATTAATGTGTTGTGGAAATCATTTTTTGCCTCACAGATATCCTTTGGTCATCTTTTTGTTTTAATTAATTAGCGAATATTTACTGCAAACGTAAATATAATATCAAGAATTTTTCAGATGTAGAAAGTTATAAATTTAGTCAGCCTGGGTGTTCTATGATCAATACGCAGAACGTAAACGAACATATGAAACATATTTCAAAACACAATGAACAAAATGCATATCAATGCGATTGGCCTCATTGTGGGAAATCATTCAGCAATTCAAAGGACCTTTCTAAGCACAGTGAAGAACATTCACTTAAACTTCAATGCAAAGATTGTGATGCTTTATTCACACATCCGCGTTCACTGATAAGGCACAAGAATCGCACCTGTCCATTTGACTGTTAGTTTTGCATGAAAAAAAAATGAAATCTCCGATCTTTTTGTTTTCACTAAATTGTGTGAGTAGGGAATCGGAAACCGAAACTGATTTCGTCTTCATAAATACCTATTTTATGAGATCAATTCAGCACAGGTAATACTAAAACTAAGATATTTACTTCAAACATGTGTAAAAAAAGAGAACAGTTTTTTGCAGATTTAAGTTAATTGAAATATGTTATGATAAGCTTAATTTATAACAATGTTATTTTTATGACAATCATTCAAATTACAATTAATAATAAAGGAAATGGTACGGTAAAATGCTAATATGGACATAAATGTCATATCAGAAGATTTTCAGGTAGGCGGGGATATAAATGTCTTTTTCCCGAATATGCTGCCGGAATGATGAGGAATGTGGAAGACAGTACAAAAAACAGGAGTCCTGATTGCGAAAAAGAATTTGAGAGTTTATCAGATTATTGTGCACACTACATAACGCATCGACCTCAGTGCAGAAATTGCGGTAAATACCTCAAGACGCTGAAAGCACTGGAATATCACGTGAAAAATTCCTGCAAGAGATGTCGTTAGTTTTAACAATTTATGTTTAACAGAATTTTCAGTGACATACAAATTAAAAAAGTAGAATGCGTGTGAAAGTTTGCAATTATGATAATGAAATAGCAAATCAAAATTCGACAGATCAAGCAATCAATGTCTTTCTTACGATACGCAATAGAGAATTGCGTATCGTTTGTTTGCATATATTGCTATCGATGTTTGATAGCTAATGATTCAATGATATGTCATTAACAAATATTGAAAATACCAATAGAGAAAAAAGATATTTCTTCATTACACTCGTTTCCACATTTCAATCGGTTTTGCAAAAGTCAAACTATTCCACGCTGTTCATTCTTTTGACACCTTAACGCAATATCTAAAATCTTATTCAAGCTACGACAAAAAGAAGTCCGAAGTTTGGACATGCTTCTTTCGATGCAGGAAATGATGATAGTTCTGGTCAAAGTTCAGTAGTCCAACACAACCAGTCGTATATTGGACATCATTCAGCAAATCTTGATATCTTCGACAATTTCAATTTGGCTCTATCAGACACAGATATTGAAATGTGTAACCGTGAATGGGAAAATAGTGGTGAATTACAAAGAACTTGTAAAAAAATGTTTAAAAACGTTGAGCCCCATCTCCCGTAATTCTTTGAGGATACAAGCATTAAAGAATAGAAAAACGAAATTGCTTGGTATACTGGGAAATTCCAAATTACCTATAAGAGACAATGAGTACCTCCGTTAGATATTTTTAACAGCTTCGATTAACAATGAGCGTCCGCTTAATGACTTTCCTAATATTTTGTAAGCTAATGGACCGCTTCTCCTCATCTGCTGGATATCAGCGAATAACACGTATCGTGGGAGTTATTCAACATCAATATAAATCTTCACAATTCCTTTCATTTACTCATAGCTTTCTTGCAAATTTTAATCATTGATAAGGCACAAGAATCGCACCTGCCTATTTGACTGTTAGTTTTGCATGAAAAAGAAAAAATGAAATCTCCGATCTCTTTGCTTTCACTAAATTGTGTGAGTAAGAAATCGGAAACCGAAACTGATTTCGTTTTTATATATACCTATTTTATGAGATCAATTTAGCACAGATAATACTAAAACAAAGATAATTACTACAAATACGTGCAAAAAAAGTTAAGTTAATTGGAATATGTTATGATAAGCTTATTTTATAATATTGCTATTTTTATGGCAATCATTCAAATTACAATTTATAATGAAGGAAATGTTACGGTAGAATGCCAACTATAAACATAAATGTCATGCCAGATTTTCAGATAAGCGGGGATATAAATGTCTTTTTCCCGAATATGCTACAGGAATGATGGAGAATATGGAAGAAACCACAACAAATAGGAATCCCGATTGCGAAGAAAATTTTGAGAGTTTATCAGATTATTGTGCACACTACTTAACAATTCGATCTCAGTGCAAAGAATGCGGTAAACACCTCAAGACGCTGAAAACACTGAAATATCGCGTGAGAAATTTCTGCAAGAGATGTCGTTAGTTTTAACAGAAAATTCCAAATCGTGATCATGGAATAGCAAATCAAAATTCGATAGATCAAATGGTCAATGTCTTTCTAACAGCAATAGAGAGTTTCATATCGTTTGTTTGCATATATTGCTATCGATGTTTGATAACTAATGATATTCTATTAATTCGGTGGATTTAAAATGTTCTGACATCAATAATATGTCGTTAACAAATTTTGAAAATATCAATAGCCAAATGAATATTCCATTATGGTCATTTTCACCTTTTCATCGGTATTTCGACGAGGCGGAAGAATGTGAAAAGCATGCTAAAAGACATATCATTTCAATGCAAGAAGCAAACTACTCCATGTTATTCATTTCTTTTTCGCTCACTGATATATTTGAAGAATTCTTATTTTAGGTCAAGCAAATAAAGATTCGAAGTTTGGACATGCTTCTTCCGATACAAGAGATGATGGATCTGGTCCAAGTTCAGTAATCCAACAGTATCAGTTGTCCAGTGGGGATCTTTCAGCAAATTATGATATTCGACAACTTCGATTTGGCTCTATCAGTTGCAGTTAGTCGCTCACTAATATATTTAAAGAAATCTTATTCTAGGTCTAATAAATGAAGATTCGAAGTTTGGGCACGCTTCCTTTGATATAAGAGATGATGGATCTGGTCAAAGTTCAATAATTCAACAGTATCAGTCGTCCAGTGGGGATCTTTCAGCAAACTTTGATTCCTTCGACAACTTCGATTTGGCTCAATCAGTTGCAGATAGCCAAACCACTCCATGTTATTCATTTCTTTTTCGCGCACTAGTTATATCTAAAAAATTCTTATTCTAAGTCTAACAGAAAAAAATAGGAAGTTTGGACATGCTTCTTTCGGCGCAAGAAAATATGATGGTTCTGTGGAAATTCAGTAATCCAACAGAATCTGTCGTACAGTAAGCATCTTTCAGCGAACTTTGATATCTTCGATTTCGCTTTATCAGACGCAGATATTGGAATGTACAACCGTGAATGGGAAAATAATGGTGAATTACAAAGAACTTGTAGAAAATTGTTTAAAAACGTTGAGTCTCATCTCCCGTAATCCTTTGAGGACAAGTAAAGAATTGAAAGAAGCAATAAAGAATTGAAAAACGAAATTGATTGGAATACTGGAAAATTCCCAATTACCATTAAGAGACAGACAATGAGTACTTCCTGTTAGATATTTTTAACAGCTTCGATTAACAATGAGCATCCGCTTAACGATTTTCCTAATATTTTGGAAGCTAATGGATCGCTTCTCCTCATCTGCTGGATATCAGCGAATAACACGTATCGTGGGAGTTATTCAACGTCAATATAAATCTTCACAATTCCTTTCATTCATTCATAGCTTGAAAATTAAAAAACTAAGAAATCACAAGAAACGCACCTGTCCAGTTAATATGCAAAAAAGCATATCATTCACTGCAAGAAGCAAACTAATCCATGTTATTCATTTCTTTTAAGCGCACTAATATATCTAAAAATTTTTATTCTAGGTCTAAGAGAAGAAAATTCGATGTTTGAACATGCTTCTTTCGACACAAGAAAAGATGATAGTTCTGGTCAAAGTTCAGTAATCCAACAGGATCAGTCGTACAGTGAGGATCTATCAGCAAACTTTGATATTTTCGACAACTTCGATTTGGCTCAATCAGACGCTGATAGCCAAACTACTCCATGTTATCCATTTCTTTTTGGCGTACTAGTATATCTAAAGAATTCTTTTTGTAGGTCTGACAGAAAGATTCGAAGTTTAGACATGCTTCTTTCAATATAAGAAATTAGTCGTATAGTGAGCACTTTTCAGCAAATTTTGATATTTTCGACAGCTTCGATTTGGCTCTATCAGATGCAGATATTGAAATGTATAATCGCGAATGGGAAAATAATTTTGATATCTTCGACATCTTCGACTTGGCTCTATCAAATGAAGATATTGAAATGTATAACCATGAATGGGAAAATAATGGTGAATTACAAAGAATTTGTAAAAAATTGTTTAGCGACTTTGCGCCCCATCTTCCGTAGTTCTTTGAGGATACAAGCGGTAAAGAATTGAAAAACGAAACTGATTGGAACACTGGAAAATTCCCAATTACCTGCTGTGCGAGACAATCAGTACCTCCTGTTTGCTATTATTTTTAACAGCTTGGATTATCAATGAGCGTCCGATTATCATTGATTATCTTCGATTATCAATGACTTGCTTATTCATTCATTTCTTATCCATTGCATTATTATGATAAAGAATTTCATCCAAAAACATTGACTTCTGCAAAGTTATACAAACATGAATCGTTCCAATAGCTTTCGCTGTTTTGTGAGTTCATTTTCGCAGTTAAGCATAACTTTTAGATCCTTAACATCTATCGACAATTATTCCAAATTTGTTATAACAAAGAATGACATTATTTCATTTTACATTAATTTTTGAGAACAGTTTTAAAAAAAGATATTGCGTGTTGCACCCATTCTAACACTACAACGCTTACCAGTAACAAAAGTTAGCGTCACCTGTCAACAATTTCTACCATTTTACTGTTTACGAGACCGAGAGCGAATTTTTTGCCAAATTTTCAACTTCTAATTAGCAGCAATCCGTTTAAATTTGTATGTTTCTATTAGTTAGCAGTCAAGTTTTACAGCTTCCTAAAAATCAATCTCTGTTTGATTGATAAAATCAATAAATTGCTTTTTGTTCCCTTATATATTTTCAACCATTTATCACAATGCATACATATATTTTGAACGCGAAAAATTTATTCGAAATATGTGATAGAATATTAACTATGAATGAATGAAAGGAATTGTGAAGGTTTATAATGACGTTGATTAACTCCTAAGGTAGGTGTTGCTCGTTGAAATCAAGCAATTGAGGAGAAACGGTCCGTAAGTTTCCAATATAGTAGGAAAGTCATTAAGCGGACGCTCATTGTTAATCGAAGCTGTTAAAAATATCTAACGGAGGTACTCATTGTCTCTTACAGGTAAATGGGAATTTTCCAATATTCCAATCAGTTTCGTTTTTCAATTCTTTATCGCTTGTATCATCAAAGAACTACGGGAGATGGAGCGCAAAGTCGTTAAACAATTCTTTATAAGTTCTTCGTAATTCATTATTATTTTCCCATTCATGGTCATACATTTGAATATCATCATCTGATAGAGCCAAATCGAAGTTTTTGAAGATATCAAAGTTTGCTGGAAGATCCCCATTGCACGACTCATTCTGTTGGATTACTGAACTTGGACCAGATTCATCATCTTCTCTTGTATCGAAAGAAGTATGTCCAAACTTCGAATCTTTATTTGCTTGACCTAAAATAAGAAATCTTTAAATATATTAGTGAGCGACTATCTGCAACTGATAGAGCCAAATCGAAGTTGTCGAAGATATCATAATTTGCTGAAAGATCCCCACTGGACAACTGATACTGTTGGATTACTGAACTTGGACCAGATCCATCATCTCTTGTATCGGAAGAAGCATGTCCAAACTTCGAATCTTTATTTGCTTGACCTAAAATAAGAATTCTTCAAATATATCAGTGAGCGAAAAAGAAATGAATAACATGGAGTAGTTTGCTTCTTGCATTGAAATGATATGTCTTTTAGCATGCTTTTCACATTCTTCCGCCTCGTCGAAATACCGATGAAAAGGTGAAAATGACCATAATGGAATATTCATTTGGCTATTGATATTTTCAAAATTTGTTAACGACATATTATTGATGTCAGAACATTTTAAATCCATCGGATTAATAGAATATCATTAGTTATCAAACACTGATAGCAATATATGTAAATAAGCGATACTCTATTGCGGTTAGAAATACATTGACTACTTGATTTATTGAATTTTGATTTGCTATTCCATGATTACAATTACGAATTTTCTGTTAAAACTAGCGTATTTCAATTAACTTTAATTAACTTAAATTCACAGCATATCGCAATTAACTTAAATTTGCAAAAAACTGTTCTCTTTTTTTTGCAGATACTTGAAGTAAATATCTTAGTTTTAGTATTACCTGTGCTGAATTGACCTCATAAAATAGGTAATTATTAAGACGAAATCGGTTTCGGTTTCCGATTTTTTACTCACACAATTCAGTGAAAGCAAAAAGATCGGAGATTTAATTGTTTTCTTTATTGGTGCAAAACTAACAGTTAACTAGACAGGTGCGCTTCTTGTGATTTCTCAGTGAACTCGGTTGTGTGAATAAACTGTCATAATCTGTGCATTGAAATTTAACTTAATGTTCTTCACTGTGCTTAGAAAGTCCTTTGAACTTTTATATGATTTCCTACAAGGAGGCCAATTATATCGGCAAGCATTTTGTTTCTTGTGCTTTAGAATATGTTTCACATATTCTTTTACGTTCTGCGTACAGAACATAGAACACCCAGACTGACTACATTTATAATTTTCTACATCTGAAAAATTCTTGAGATTATATTACCGCTTCCAGTAAACATTCCGTCACATTATTTGCTAATTAATTAAAACAAAAACTAACCAAGGGATATCTGTGAGGCAAAAAATGGTTTCCACAACCTTTTTGCATAATATTTATTGAAACAAAATCTTAATGTTACCTTTGCTAGTAGAAATAGTATGTGACTGTAATGGCGTTAAATCAGAGATATCGAGGATATCGTCGCTTTTTGAGAATTCCACATTATCGCAATTGTTCGGTTGAGGTACTGCAAATTGATTGGAGACATCAGGTGAGAAAACAGGAAGTTGGTAGAAATTGGCCGCAGCGTTCTCTTCTTGCGAATAACTAGGATAATGGTAAGTTTTGGGAATGCCATCATCAATAGGATTAAATGCAGTGAAATTTTTAGTTGGAGCTGAAATAACGCTCGAGAGAATAATAAAAAGGAGGAAGCTGAACGAAATGATGTGTGCCATCGATATAATTAGAAGCAACCTGAAATACACAATTTTTTATATATAAAAATTAGACAGAAAATGGCTACAGTGGTCGAATAGGAATAATTTTTTAATTCAAATTGGTTTGAAATCAAATCGAAGGTTATTAATAAACGTCAGTTGTTGCAGGAATCTTTAATCTATATGATATTAAATACAATTATGTCGACATTTTTTTGATCCAATTTTGCATATTGAATAATTTGGCACTTTTACAGGAATTTTGGTTTTTAATTTTTGTTGCGTTAGTTAACTGACAGCTGTAAACTATTTGATTTATTTTTGACACTTACACATAATTATTGCATCAAAATTTTACTGATTATATTTTAGTCATTCATTTCATGTATTTTGTTAATTAATTTTTTTATAATAATAAATTCGATGATATGATTTATTTCGTAATATTAATCAAATATACAATTAAAGGTGTATTTGTTTATTTATATTAAAGTAAATTGGTATTTTATCATCGCCAGGCCTAATAATTGTTTCCATGGATTCCTATATGTTGTAATACTTATTTTTATTTTCCCATCATCATCTAACTTCCGGTGAATATTAATTTTTGGACTTAAGAAAATTTCCAATTTTTAATTTCTGGAATATTTCAAGCACTTAATTTGTTCTATTTACTAATATTGAATGGTCTTTAATCATTGTATTTATTGTAATATCTTTTCCGATGATATTTCCTATTCGCCTATTCGCTGCATGCTTTACCTTCCTTCACCCGCTACATGCTTTACCTTCCTCACCCGCTGCATGCTTTGTCTTCACCCGCTGCATGCTTTGTCTTTCCTCACCCGCTGCATGCTTTGTCTTCCCTTACCGGCTGCATGCTTTATCTTCCTTCACCCGCTGCATGCTTTTTTGTTAACAGTTACTGTTGTACACATACATTTCTGATATGGTTTTTCTGTTCAGATATTATTATGATGAAAAGACAGATTCTAATGTATTTTGCATATTAATCGATTGTATTGATTTCATCGAAAGCTAAAAGTGAAAATTGCGGCACAGCAAAAGGTAATTTAACATTGACAATCATTTGATAACCTTTTAATTAATAGAATACACCGATCGTGCGCATATTTCTTGAAGTTTTTGGTTCAATTTCTTGAAGTTTGGAATTTCTCAAAATTTTACTTTTTAATTTTCAAAATTTTTTGTTATTTTTGGTTCTTTTATTATCTGTTTAGGTGTGTTCTAGAAGGTAACTTAGGTCATCTGAATTAAATTTCATTTAGCATTAGTGAAGATGAATAATTAGAGGAAACGTTTCAAATTTTCATATCAGCTGTTAATATATTTACGAAAACGTTTCATTCGTTTTTATTAATTGTTTATATGAATTTTCTGGTAAATATGTCATAACCTCCGGAAATGCCATAGCCTAATTTTGCTAATGAAAATGAATCGATTAAGTGCTGCTTATTTTTGATTAATTATCAATAAACACTTTACCGTAGCATTGTATTCCTGTGCTTCAGAAATCTAACTTCTTAGCATTCANCTCCGGAAATGCCATAGCCTAATTTTGCTAATGAAAATGAATCGATTAAGTGCTGCTTATTTTTGATTAATTATCAATAAACACTTTACCGTAGCATTGTATTCCTGTGCTTCAGAAATCTAACTTCTTAGCATTCAAATTCTGAATATTCAACATCTAGCAAAGTAATAATTAGTAATTTGTTTCATCATTTTCTGCTTTGAAAAGGATGTGCATTTTTAAAATATATCAAATTTAATTACTGGAAATTTCGTTATTCATTTCAAATTGAGAAATGTGAAATTGATATCTTTAATTTTAAATTATTATTAGTTTAAAATATACCTAGCAAAGATTCTGCCCAAGTTCTATTTTCCTAAAACGATAATTAAATACTGTAGCCAATCATTTCATACTTGTATATTTTAAATTGTCTAGAATTTATTTAAAACTCTATGATCTAGCTGTAATAAAGATTTTCTATCAATATGATTAAATAAACAATCAAAGTTTATTTTCAATTCTTAAAATCTTTCTTCTTTAATTTCAAATTAAACTTCTAAAACAAAAAGTTCTTAATTTTTCATTCTGCTCTTATAGTTCAAACATATAAAGCTTAAAATGAACAACACATTTTAGAACAAAGAATGAAATATTTCATCAGCCGTAAATAAATATTTCGTAAAGAAGAGATGTAAAAATTTGATCAAATTAAATAAACAATTATGTTTATTTATTGAAATTAATTGAATGAATAAAAATTTTTAAGAAAAAGTAAAACATTATTATAATTAAATATTTAATAAATCAATATCATATATTATATAATTACTGAAATTTGATTTCCTTTTTTCGTCTTGATGAAATGAATTAAACGGTGTATATTAGAGGCGTATTTCAGGAAACCATAACCAAGGCTGAATGTTCCTCTAGTCGTAAGGTATTCAAATTTCACATATGACTAAAAGGAACATCCAGAATGGTATTTGGTATTTAAAATTCGCGATATATTAAGGCAATAATAGGAGTTAATTGGTACAAATATTTTGGATGAGATAAAATCTAAAATTTCTAAAAATTTTTTAACTTTCCAAATATTCATTTTTTTTGTAAATAATTTTGATGCAAAAAAAAGGAGAAAAACTGAAGGTGTATTTTAGTAATTTCAATTTGATTGAAAACTTCATTAAAATTTCATTGAAGTATTTTTTGATAATTTTACGACAAGTGATTCAGAAGTTTCGCCCGGTGAGTATCCTGAAGCAAATTGCTCGCCGATGACAAAACATTCCGTATCATTTATCGATGGATAACAATTATAGGAAAAGAAAAGAAGGATTATTATTTGAAGAAAAAATTGTCTGATTACATGATTTAGTGTAATAGCAAAATGACCGGACGATTTCATCGTATCCAAAATAATATGAAATAATTTCAAATATTTAAAATTATTATTACTTAGTGTAATAGTGAGATGACCGGACGATTTCATCGTGCTCAAAATTCGTTCACCAATTGCAGAACATTTGATGATGAATAATAAATACAGGAAAAGGTATTATTAATTAAAATAAAGATTTTTCAAATGTAAAATAGTTCAAGTTGTGCAAAATCATTATTACTTGCCGTAATACCGGATGAAATGTATGATGCTTCTTTCATCTACTAATAAACAACCACTTGATATCAATACCGTTAGAGACAAATAATACATTTAATGTAATGAGTTGGTGGGACTATTCCCTTTTAACCCAATTGATTATCATCAACCGGTGGCTGTTTAATACGGAATGAAGAAGAGAGCGAGCAACAGATGTGTTGTAAATAATCCGTATTATTTACTCCTCTCTTTCCGTTTTCATTCTCATCCTCCAATCTCATCGTTATCTTTTATTTCCGATTACCCATCCTCGTGATCCGTCCTTGTAATCCGTCCCCATGAATGTTCATTGGGACATTCTTCAATGATAAAATGCAGCAACAATCTGCTTTCATACTCTTTGACCTTTAACTTATCAATTAGTTACAAAGTGCACTTCATCATCTTCTTCCACTCCTTCGATACATATGGCGTGTAAAATAAAATAATAATTTGATCGATTACTGCCTATCCATTTATCACCCTATCTTGTAAAATATACTTTTTTACAGATAATTGTGAAATAAAATTAAAGTGTTATTTGATGATTTTATAGCTTATAATTTTTTTATTTAACAATTATTCTTCCATTTGATGCAACCAAATTTCACGTAAAATAGATTATTGAAAAGATAAAAAAATCATAAAATGCTAATTACTGATAAATACTTCAGTTAAATTAATAATGTTATCATTTCGATCAGATGGCTAGTTTGATAATTACGAATAAAAAAAGGAAATGAAGAGGAAGAACGACATAATATCCGAAAATTTAAAGAACAAAGTAATAATGATATTAGTTGTAAACATGGATACAGTTTAGAGAAATAATTTAATTAAAAGTGGACGTAGCGAGAATTGCGACAAGGAATACTGTCAATTGATTAGATTGATAAGATCGAAAGATGAGACAACACTTCTTCAATATTTACTCATAGAGAATTGATAACTAGCGAAAGTGATAAAATGAAATGAAATAACTTTCTTTATTTATATATATAAAATAGTAGAAAGTTTAACTAAAACATGATACTGAAGTATCCAATCTTATTCCTAAAAAATTATCAAACAGTATACTGATATAACAACTATTGCCATCATTCTTATCACCATTTATGAGGTATCATTTTGATAAGATAAAAATTTTTATTAACTCTAAGATGATGCAAAAAACGGAACATTTATTTTATTTACTGCGTTTATTTTACTTAAAAAGTTTAATTCGAATCTAATCTTCAATTCCATTCCATTCAGTCTTTGCAGTTTCACTTTTGTTCGATACCGACTAATTCAACATTTTGGTTTAAATTAATTTTTAAAGTAATTTACTTTTAAACCAGTTAAATATCATAAGTTGAAAAGGAATAAAATTTCCATTTCCTTTTTATTGATTACAACAATTTAATTATCAATGGAAAGCTTTAGAAAATTTTAGTACGAATGAACTGATATTGTTATCCTATTAGTAAATTTTCTCTTCAACAGAAATTTTTAAAATATCTTAAATTCTTAGATAATACTTGAAAATATATTGAATGAAATGCTAATTCATTATTCTATCATACTGTAGCTGAAAGTAATTTGTATCTTATAAATAATGTATACACGTTAATATTCATAAGACCGAGTTGACCAGTTATTTACAAAATCGGTCATATCGCGCTATCAATGAAAGGTCATTGAAAGATGTTGGTTATGAAATGAAAGGTCATTGAAAGATGCTGATTATCAACAGTCTATGCAGCAATATCATTTGAAATTTAATCTTTTCTATTAAATAATTAATTTCATAAAACAACAATAACAATAACAACAACTATAATTTGAAAATCGAGAATTTTTGAATCTAAATGAATACGATGTATAATTTTAACATTCGAATAAATTATTTGCAAAAAATATACAATGATTTATATTCATTCCTCCTACCAATATTTACACCTGAAATGTTGCTCAAATATTATCATCAAAGCAATAATTCGTTGATAAAGTGAAATTTAATTAAATAATGAATAGAAATTATTATTTATTGTAAACTGCACGAATGAATAAGTATTACGGTTATAAAGGAAATTTAGGAAATAATGATAAAATAGAGTTAAATTAAGTTGTTATAGTAATATTTACAATTTTTTAAACGATAATTTATTTTGTTTTATTTATTAAAACATTTTCTTAAATTAAAATTTTGGTTATATCAATTTCAAAATGATTTTAAAATAAATTTACACTTTTGTAATTATAATAATTAAAATATAGGAAGTTTTCCTCTTTTTTCCGTTTAATATTTACAATTTATTCTATCAAATATATGGATTGATTAGAATTCATTTTGAAATATATTTACATATATTTTTCATGTAATATTCAAATTTTTAATTGTAAACAAAAATTTCAAACTTACATTTATTTTAATAATATTAATAATGTAATTGTATAAGATGGTGTAACTTCAGAATTTTTATTCATTTGCTGTAGAGCTATCGATACAGATCGATTGGTTGTTTGCTTTCATTATCATGGAATTTGATTGTGATGATGAGAAATGGTTGCAACTGATACAATCAGTTGATGACGGAATTCGAACAATTGCGCTAAATGCTAATGTGCCACATGAAGTAATTTAATAGTGAATTAATTACGCAAAATATATAGTCGTAAAGGAATACGATTGTCGCACGATATTGCAATATTCTTTTCTTATCACTATGAATATAATATCAATACTATATGATAAGCTATCATTACTTATCAATATTTTATAACAAAATATTTCCTGCTTTTTTTTGCTGTACTAATATTTTTGTGGCTAAATATATCCTAGGAAATATATTATCATAGGTGCAAGCCAAAAATATCAAAGGATATATTGTAATAAGTATGAAATCTTTCCACTGTTAAAAATCTGCGAAATTTAAATCAAATTTTTTGTTGTGCTAAAATTTTTGTCACAAAATGTATCTGAAGAATGCATTATTACAAATGCAAAAAATATATATCACATAATATCCTAAAATATGTACCACAAATATCAAAGAATGCAAAGATTTCATACTTATAATACTGTTAAAAATTTGCGAAATTTAAATCATGATATTAACTTTCATTATTATTTTGTTATCATTTAATAACTAGCCAAGTAAACATATTAATTTTAATTTAATCCTGATACGGCTAAAATGAAGAAATTCTTTACTTTAGTTATAATCATATCAGCATATTATTATTGCGATTATTATTAATATTATTGTGTCATATACTAATCTCATCTATAAATAATTTATTCAACTCATTTATAATATAGCCATTGATACAATTAATCAATAAATTTTAATATGATTATATTACGATTATTTTATTTTCATAATTGTTTGATCAATGATGTTGCATTTACCTTTTGGTTATTTTTAATTCAATTAAATTGCTAAAAATTAAGGATTTACGATATCGATATATAATGGAATGCTTACATATCACTAAGCCATCGCAATATAATACCAACGATTTGATGATAAAACAACAGGTTTAAAATTTTATATGATCACAGTTCTGTGGAAAAAAGCAATCGCCGACATATATTTTATACACACTGAAGGGAATAAAATTTCAGTTATTAAATTTAAATTGCAAAATTGGGACAAAATCTGAAGTGGCAGCAACAGAAATAACGAAATTCAAAGAAGGTATCTCGGCGCAGCAAACTTCAACCGGTGATAATATTAGCACACAGGTGTGGTAAATATTCTTTGTGCATCCAATTAATGCATTACCAATACGATAAATTTAGAATGAAATTATAATTGTATTTAAATTTCACAGATTTCCACTCTTATAGAATTAATAAGGAAGTTATCAGTGTTTTTATCACAATCATTTTTAACAGGAAGTTATCAGTGTTTTTAGCATATTCATTATTATCACGCTACAACAATTTTTTTTTCCATTATTTAACATTTTGATGGAGAATAATTGATAATAATAAATAATAAATTATAATAAATAATAATTAATAATTAATGAATGATAATAAATATTAATAAAAATTTCTCAACAAAATTTATTCGACAGAATTTAATAAAATTGAGTAAAGATGTGTAAGTAATTTCGAGCCTTTAAATCCTAGAATTATAAAATAAAAGATAATATATTCCCACAAAATTTTTATCTCTTCGAATAATTATATGAATAGTATAAAAGCATCAATTAAATATTTGATAGAATGAGATTTTATTTAATTACATTAAAGATTTTATTTAATTAATTAATTAGTTAAATATAAGAAATAATCAACTTAATTATAGAATAAAAAAAATGGTAGTGAAAGGAAAAATTGTCGAAATGAAACAAATATTTATAAAAAAGGTAAAGTATAAAAAATTATTTTCAAACTTTCATTATTTTGATTTTATCATTTTCTTTTTAAGTTTAAATTTTAGCTCATATGAAACAGCAGCAGCATAAATATTTTGGCTTTAATGGCAGTCGTAGCAATAGTAACAATCATAAATCACCGATCCATCAGAGCTGTCAACAAAATTTTTACTCTCAAAGTGGTTTGTTAAATAAGTGACAATTGACTAAAAGGAAAAAAATATCTAATAATGATGAGATTATTTTGTATGCTGGCTTATCACTAATATCACATTGTTGTGACTTAATTTATGATTTTAAAAATATTACAAAATTATGATGATAAATGTGATATATCTTATCAGTAATATCTACAAGTAATCAAATGTGTATAAACTGGATCATTTCGCATGCAAATGATATATTATTAAGTAATGTAATATTAACAATAAAATTAGGAATAATGTAATTAATTAGATAATTTAGTGATATGATAATTTAATAATTGCAATTTCTGTTTTCCTTTAATTCAAGTTCATGGTTCAAATGTGCTACCATATTCCATTTCTGCGCCAATTAATTCTATTAATCGATTACATTCAGTAAGTTTGTGCTTTTAATTCGAACGCTGTTAAATTTTTTTATACTATTTAAAAGATAACAATAGCATTACCTGAAATTGCATGAATAAATCTAATATGATAATTTTGATAATTATAATTAATTGTTTCTATAATTTTGAATATTTCGTTTGTTGTAGTACAAAATGAATGATAATAAATTTAACGATAGTAACATATCGATATCTAAATTGCTACAGAAACCAAAAGATTCAAATAAAAAAAATATGGCAAAATTTTATTGCGATATTGAAGGTATCGTTTAAAACAATTAAAATTAAAAAATTATTGAAAAATTCTGAAATTAGATAGTTTAATTTCGAATATAACAAGAAATTAATAAATCGTTATCAAGAAAAAAGAATGATAATTCTAAACTTAATACAATTAAATTAGGTGGAATTAATTAAGAATAGAATTTCGTTTAAAAATTAAAACAACACTAGAATATTTCCTCATATGAAAAAAAGCCGAACTATTCAGATGGCTTAAAATGATAATTACTAATTGAATCCTTCATATAACAAAAATAATTAAACATTTATATGTAATTAAGTAAAAAAGAGAATGGCGCGATTATTGNAAATAATTAAACATTTATATGTAATTAAGTAAAAAAGAGAATGGCGCGATTATTGTTTTAAATATTGAAATATTTCAAATGTAACTTCTTTTGCTATATATTTTAAAAGATTAATGAATTTCTCATTAATATCAAATTCTAATTAAATAATGAATGTAAAGAATAGAATTTCTAAATTGAATACATTTAAAAAAACTTTCAAGAATAATATATTAGGCAATTTTAGCAGCATTATCAGGTGAATTATCTGATACGGAAGATGATGAAATGCCTCGTGATACTGCATTAAACAAAGTAAACAATTATCATTTGAATTTAATTTTTCCCTTTGAAAATAATCAAACAGCTATTAGTTATTAGATCAATTATACAACTGTAATAGTAAACTTGCGTTATAAATTAAAATTTAAGAGGAATTCTATGGTTTACTAAAAATTTCTCTATTTGAAATTATTTATTCTTATAATTTTTTCTTATCAAAAATATCGGCAATTATCAAATGACAATTTATCAAATGATAATTGATAATTGCAACTATATTTGATAAGAAGATAACTGATAATTGCTATGTTACGTATGATTGCATCATCATTTGTTAAGGAAACACCAATATCATTGATTAATGAACAATTAAAGAAAGTGAAGCGATTTGAAACACGAGTTGTTCGCTATCCAAATGGCAAACCATTAGCAATTAATATTATTCATAAAGTAATCATTCCATTTTAAAATATATTTTTTTAATTAATTAATAAGATAGAAAATTTCTTTATTATCAATCATTTAATTTCATAACATTTGAATCGAAAAGAAAAATTTATTCCTATATTTAAACTATTATAATTATTATTATCATTATAAATTTAAAATTGTTTAAAAAAATTGATATTAATTAAAGGTAGTTCTCAATTTTTAGGTATATGTTGTTCAATTAGAAGGAGCTTATGCATGGGTTCGTTTATACGATGGTAATCGACCACCGTGTTTTGATGCTGCAAATGTTTTATTGAAAACGATGAAATCGTTGGAATGGAAGGAAATGTTACCTGGAACACCGTGTGTGATATTTACACGTTTCAATCCTCTTGATATTGTTAATGATGGAATTGCACGTGAAGTTACAGAGGTTTAAGTAATTCATTATTATAATAATAACTAACAATAACAATAACAATTGTTACTAAAATTGAATAGATTTTTAAATAGTTTATTATCGTAAACAATAAAACAGCAATAACAACTACTACTTCTGCAACTATTATTTATCATAAACAATAGCAACAACAGCAGCAACTATTACTACCAGAATTATTATTGTTGATTATAAACAATAACAACAATACAACAGTAACAACAATACAACAGCAACAATAACACTACTACTACAACTATTATTATTGTTTATGAAAACAAACAACTGTTATTATTTTTACATAATCATTCTTTTCGGATGAATATTTATCATCTAAGCTTAAATTATCAATTGTAAAGATATTAAAATCATATTTGAAAAAAATGAAACTTACTGATAATTATTTGATGATAAATCTCTGACGAGAAATATTTTAGTTAGCAAACAATTTCATAATTTCATAAATTTCATTACACTTTTGTATTGTTAATCACAATTTTAATTAATTTCGTACTGTACCTATTTTATTATTGACGTATTTACATCAATTGAATTAAAATGTAAACAAATTTTCTGTCCATATTCGATATGCTAATTCTGTATTATTTGATATATTTAATATTTCAGTTTGAATCATACGCTCGTGCTATTATTGAAGAATGTCATCAGACGACAAAAACGGTTACCGTTCGTCTAGTTGATTTCGGTTTTCGTCTTACGCATTTAGATGTTGCAGCTATTAAACCATTAACAATTGCATTTGATGGACCACCATTAGCATTTCGATTACAGATTGATTTATTACCAAAAGTATATGTTAACTTGAATAATACTTCCCTATTAGCCTATCACGTATAGTTACTTGCGAATCATCCCAGTATTGTAATTTTTGAATGATTGAAAAAAATTATGATATCAGATTTAAATAATTTCATCTTAAATTATCTCAATGAAAAAATCACTTCTAAGTTTTTTTCGATTCTAAATTTAGTTAAAGGAAAATTTTAAATTTTCACATTTCAAATTATAAATTTCATTTTTCACGTCATAAGAAATTCTTTTATATTTTAGCAACAGAAAGAAAGTTTATGTCGATATATAACATTAAGCATACGACTTACAACATCACGAGAAAAGCAATTTTTATGTTGGTCAAAAACATGGAAGGCAATTGATATTAAGGTTCGAAGAAAGTTACAGTTAAAGTAAGCATAAAATATACATGGAAATTACTTAACATTTGTTAGAATTTATAAGAGTAAGAAAAGGTAATTTGTGAATTAACTGAATGATACTTGAATTATCAAAATATAAAAACAAATTTTTTTCAATATTAATAGGATTGTTTATTTACAATGTTTACATGTTTACTTACAATGTTTATATGTTTATTTACGATGTTTACAATAAAACAATTTTAAAATTTTTATTTCTAATTTTCCAATCTTTTCAAATATTACAAAAAGAAGAAATTTAGAAGCAAAATTGGAATAAAGTAAAAAGTGATTGTTCATCGAGCATAAAATCATCTGAAATGAATAATTTGAATGATCAATATTGCGGTTAGAATATCGTATATTTATTTTTATGACAATTAATTACTCACCCAAATTATATTTTCTATAATTTAACACGGTAATTAATTACCTTTATCATGAATGATATTTGTAGCATCCTCATGTTTTGGCTTGGTAACACAAATTTTCGTTTCTTCTTGGCTTAATAATGAACATAAAAGAGCCGGTGGACGAGGCATTGAGGCTGCATTACGTGGAATTGATAAACATCATTCAGGTTTAGCATATTTAATTAATTTAAAGAATTGAAAACATTATCAATGATTAATAATCGGTAAAGCTAAGATGCGGAATGATAAGGCTTTTATTAATGCCTCTTGCATAATACAAATTTTTTATCTATTATAAAATTAGCAAAACTTTTAGTGCTTATTTTGAATTGCAAAATTAGAATTGTGATAAGGAATAATATTTAATTTATCAATGACGTACTAGAATTAAAATTAGCTTAGGAAAATAATTTAGGCTTTTTGAATTGCACATACCTATATATATAAATACATAAATATACGTTTAAGTTACTTGTATTTATATATATGTGTGCATATGGAAATAGTAAATACCATTTCAAACTTTTTTCATATTTCAGTTATTCTTTTGCAATAAAATAATTACTAATAAAAAAATGTGCCTAAAATTTAAATTGTTTTAAAGCGATCTAATATATTTTAGGTTAAACTAATTATTCTATGAAAATTTCACAACATATAAAAATTGTTTTTAGATTTGCCACCATCTGAATTTGCATTGCGAAAAACAGATAATTTCGTCAAGAAAAAAATTTTTCAATTTAATCAATCTTCCGATGATTGCTTAAATCGATTAGCACCAAATCGTATTATGGTATCATTAAACTGATCATGATCAGTATAAATCGTAATATATAAAATGATAATGAAGATGAAGAGAAAAAGTGGTTAAAAAAATAGCAAAGCAAAAGAACCGGTTTTTATCAATTAGCAATTATGTTTCCTTACCAATTAGCAATCAGATAAGCTATTATCAATACATATAATTTTCATTTTTCGAAAATCGACAATGATTGGCCAATACTTGCAAGACTACCAAAAGTAATCCAAAAGGCTCCATTAGAATTTTTGAAGAAAGAAAGTGAAAAAAGGGTAAATTTAATTAATAATGTATTGTAAGTAATTAATTTCACATTTATCATAAATCCCACTGTGACTTATCACTTATCACTTATCGAATGATAATAATTTGAAATATTGCAATGGAAGTTTTTCTTAAAATTTAGCTACAATTCACACATAATTCCATAGCGATAACACTAACCGGATTATTTGCTTATATCTTATAATAATTGGATATCATATCTTCTAAATCACTAAACTTGAATTTTGTAATATTTTTATATAATATCGCTTTTCAGTAGATATGCTAGCATATTAGCAGTTTCTTGAAAGATACTTTCAGTTATTAACTCATAAATGTGCTCCATTTACTTCTTTCGCTATCAATTAATTTATTCATATTGATAACGAATAATTAAAATTGTTTAATGTAATAATTGGTTATAAATTTTGATAGTATTATTTGCCATATAATTTGCGTAGTATGTGGTATATTTTGTAAGTTAATGGAGAAAAAGTATCTTGCAATGAGAAAGAATTCAGAAGCAATGAGGAAGGATTCAGATGGATATCCGAAGGATTCTAATGATCAAAATGGAAATGAAATTATGGTAAAAGATTAAAAAATTACTTCATTTCTTTTTCATCCATAACTATTTATTTGGACAATACGATTTTTTATATTTCGTTTTCTTCCTTTAATCAGTTTTTCGTTTCTTTTTTCATTTTCAGATGATAATTAATTGCATTAATTTAAGAGATGAGAAAATAATTTTGCACTATTGATTAATTGAAAACTTCAATTTGCAACATTTTTAATGTTGCAAATTGGAATTTACAATTAATTTATTTTGCTCCCAATAATTTCTATCTTATTTGTTATAATATGTCACGTTGAATATGTCTTGCGAAATTTCCTTCAATTCCATCATTTAAAGGTTTAATGTTGAAAAGTGTAGAAAATCAACTTTGAATTGTGTTTCCATTTAAATTCTTAAAATTTCATGCATTTCTATTTTAAATTTTAGCAAAATTTAACAGCTAAAAATTACATTAATTATATACCATTCTCATAATTATTAAATGCGTAATTATTAAATTCTAAATGCTAATTTGTGTTAGCGAAACTGAGATTTTAGGAGACGGAAAATGCTAAATCAAATGCGCAAATGGCATCTTCAACAACAATAACTACCAGTGTACATACATGTCAAGATTTGCTTTGATCAAAAATTCATCATCCTATTCTTCAAACCATCAATCGTTATTTGGATTTTATTCAAATGTATTATTATTCAAATACTTCGTCATAAAGTAAAGGAAAATATTTTTAATGTAACAGCTTACTGTATGCGACATTGTGTCCCATAAAGCTATATTATCTATTAAATACATTCATTAATAACGGATAACTTTTATCACATATTTGCATTAAATACAGAGATCGATTCAAATAGTAATAAAGATAGATTTGATAAAATAGTTTTTTAAGTATCATTTAATCAAAAATTTTACCGCACATATTTTGTTGAAATAAATTTTCGACATAATTTTATGATGAAATTTTCCTTTCATCGAATGTTAGATTTATTCCAATGAATGAATGAATGAATATTCTATGAGGTCATAGGACGAAGAGTAATAAGATAGAATACAAGGAAGATGATGACGAAAATAAAAACCGTTGAAGGGTCAATTTGATATTAAAATGAAAAATTTAATGATGAAAGAAGATAAGCAGGGAAAAAGGAAGAACGAGAATAGGAATGTGTTGAAAACAATGAAAGAGAAAATTTAATTAGTGCGATTAATTCATGTTCTGTTCTTATTTCATTAATTTTCCTAAACCACTACAATAACGTATTCTTCATCCAAGGTAGAATGAAAATACTTTCCTGTAAATGACGTATTTAAAAGATATCAAATGTCGCATTTAATTACTGTATACCAAATATATATATATTGATAAGAAAGAGAGGTCAGAAAGATAATTATTACTACCAATTAATTTCATCTATTATAATGATTTTTAAAAAGAGAATTTATCATTATTCATTATTGCTATTTTTAATTTGTAATGTATTTTTAATGGTTCCAATAATAGCAGTAGTAGTAGTAATTGTAGTGTTGATTATATCCTGAAGTAAAATATGCCTTACGGGTAGGAATTTATATTGCATTTTGGCTTCACCAGAAATTTTATGATAACGATGCTGATGGAAGGGAAGATAGTTTTGATTGAAGAATCGCTTATCAGAAAAAGGTTATTAAAGTTTCTTCATACCAAATTTATCTTTTCAAGCAAAATCATTGTAATTAGTTTGAATGATATAATAAATGATCATTTTAGGAAATTTTTGAAACTGATCACATTTTATAACGATATAAATGTAATACAATATATAAATATGGATATCAACAACAATCTTAACACATATATGATAAATTGACCCCGTTTCACACGGATGTTCAAATTAGGAATCTAGATATTGACACTTTTATTTTCAGCTCGACTATCACTTCTTTCACCTCTATTATTATTGTTATTATTATCAACATTGTTATCATATATATTTGTTATAACTAACATTACCACTACAATGGTAAATGATAATGAAAGAATTTATTTGTTGAATAAGATTCTTCAAATAACATTTGCAAAGATTTCGAAAATTCCTCAATTATTTTGCAAAGATTTGAAATAATTGATGAGATTGTTGACTAATTATGATTAGTCATTTTATGACTAATTAGTCGTTTTAATAAATGAGTGATAGATTTTAAGTTTTAATGTGATAATTTGCACATTTATTTTTCAGCAAAGTAATGAATGATAAAGAAGGAAACTTTATAACAATATAATTTCAAAAAAGATTTTACGAAAAATCAAAAATGATTTTATTCATTCTCAATTAGCTTTGTTAGCATTGATTAAATTTAAATTTCAGTTTAACCGAATTTAAATTTTACATAAAAATTTATTGTTTACAGTTGGCTTTTCAGTATCATCATTTTTGTTGTCACTTTTTTAATTCTTCGTTTACTTCATTCATATTCAATTAATTGTTTTATTAGTCTGAATTTAAATTCAACAAACAAAATTTATTAGTTAAAGATAATTCTTTATTTTACCTCTTGTTATCCGTCAATTATCGTTAAATTTAAATTAAGGAAAAAATTAATCAATTTTTGTTAATTATTCATTTCATCACTTTTCTAATTATATTATTAAAAATGATTGAAGCAAATACATATGCTAAATATCTTCTGATTAAATAATTGGTTTTCCTTTACCAAATTATATGTTACTGATAGTAAAGAAGCAAACATTTGATGAAAACGAGAAGAAAAAACGTGGATTGTTGAGAGAACGTAGAATTCAGACAAAGTAAAAATACTGCAAAAACAATGCTAATAATATTACTAATATATCTGAATGATAAAATTCGATAATAAGTGATAGTAAATTATAAATTTCGAAATATTTATAAAATTTGGAAACTTCTCAAATTTGCATCAAATTTAAAACATCTTTTAATAAATATTATTTTATTTATTTCTATAAATTTGAACAATTAAAAGTTTTATTTTTAAATAAAAACAATTCAATAATTGTTTATGCCTAATAATACACCGCTGGACTTTATGATTTTTACGATTATAACATATTTAAATTAATATGATACTAATGAGATCAACATGATTACATAACTGCATTTATGTTTTTGCAAACGTGAAAAGCCATGTTACCGCCCTCCGTGGGACTCGAACCCACGACCCTCAGATTAAAAGTCTGATGCTCTACCAACTGAGCTAGGAAGGCTTCAAATATTTCAGAACACTTAAATTCAGTAAAATTTTTCCATTTCCATTTCTGATTTAAAAGCTGAAATTAAATATTATACTTTGCAAATATTTGAAATTAAATTTATAATACTTGCAAATAAAATAAGTGTTGTATAACAATATTAATTCAGACGTTTGTGTATTGATTTACTGATTTATACACTAATGGAATTGGATTAAAAAAACAAGAAAAGACTTATCGCGAATTATTTTTGTTGCTACAATTTCCATCTTCGAATATCAGCCACAAAGAATAATTGCTAGGAATAAATGTTATTTGCAAATTATAAAATGAAACGATAAAATTTTAGATAAATCAAAATGCCTGAAATTCTTATGGGAAAAGAAACAAAATGAAATTACTATAATTAATGTATAATTAAATCATTTCGAAATTTTTAAATTCTAAGTAAACAATAAAAACTTATCATTGATAGATAAAGTTTCAAATTAGTGTTGCTTACCAAAAACAAAAAGCAAAGAAATAAAAACATAAATTAAATTTTAGAAATTCATTACTTCATGTGATATTTTGATCATATAAAAAGTATATTTTTTGAATAGTAATATTATTTTATAATAATTTTTGTTAATTCTATCTTATAATTTGCTAATTTCATTTTATAAATTATAAATAAAAAAATAAAGAAATAAAATTATGAAAAAATTTTAATTTTTCAAGTATAAATGTAAGAAACAGAAAAATGAGTTTATCTTTGATAATTTTATAATTATTTAATTAGAAATAAAATTAATAAATTAATACGCCTTTTAAATATTTAAATAGCGTGAATGGAACGATGTTACATTTTCATCATTCTTTTTCATTCTTATAAAACAGGTATTAATGCACCAATAAATAATAACGGAAATGAAGAAAAATTTACGGATGAAATATATTAAAATTGTTAATGCCAAAGCACTTAAAAAGGTTAAGCAAAATGATAAATCGGAAATTTAATTTTATTGAAATATTTCTCAATGGTAGTATGGGAAGATTGTTATACCCGGAGGGGATAGTTTAATCCGTAACACTAAACTTTCGCCTTTCTGCTTTCTTTTCCATAATTTCACAGGTAAAATATGAAATAGATATAACTTTTGACGCTTTATCATCTTTCTCATGCAACCTTTTTGATCTACACAATTTATAAAGTTATTTCTCCAAATTATCCGCCATTTTTCCACACCTTCCAACATTTCCCTCTTCTCCTCCTTTTTACTCTCTTATCCTTTCATATCCACAAGATAGTGATATCCTTCCTACTCACCTATATATATATAAATAAATTGAAAGAACTGTCTCACTGTAAATTTAGAATTTAATCATATATCGGTTGACGAATACATTCTTCTCCTCTTTGTATCCAAAGGAGAAAGAACCATTTTTGTCATTTTTGGATATCTAAATTCCCAAACATTTCATTGAGAATTTACAATTTATTACTGTTATCATCTCTACTGCTGATAATATCATTTACAAAAAAAGGAAGGAGAAAAAAAATGTCATCTATAAAAGTCTGCCCACTTTTATTTTATATGATAATAGCTATCATTAATGCTATTCCAATTGATAATGGTGTCGAGGGTGAACCAGAAATTGAATGTGGTTCAACATCTATTACTGCAAATTTCAACACACGTAATAATTTTGAAGGTTGTGCTTTTTTTTATTCAACTTGAAATATTACTTTATGGAGTCTTATAAATTTGTGAAATTATATTGTATAATTAAAATGAATTTATAAATTTACAAGATAATTATAGGAAAATTGATTAGTTAATAGCCTTATATAGTATTTAAAAAAAAGATTGTAATTGGTGACAAAACAAGCAAAAGCTTATAAGTTTATTTATTTTAGGACATGTGTATGCTAAAGGATTTTATGATAAACAGGAATGTCGTAGTGATGAAGGTGGACGTCTAGTAGCCGGTATAACATTACAATTTGATTCATGCAATGTAGCTCGAACACGATCTTTAAATCCACGTGGAATATTTGTTACTGCTGCTGTTGTAATCACATTCCATCCACAATTTCTAACAAAAATTGATCGATTATACAGATTACAATGCTTTTATATGGAAGCCGAGAAAACAGTCAGTACACAAATTGAAGTTCAAGAAATTACAACCGCTTTTTTCACTCAGGTGGTGCCAATGCCTGTTTGTCGATATGAGGTAAGTTTTATTGCTCATTTCAATTACATTACATATCACATGCTATTAGATTATATCATATTTTATTATAAGTTATTACGTTATTATATTATAAACCTATGTATATTATATGTTGCATACATTTTACATTCCTTTGTTTGTTTCTTCTGCAAAATTTTTATCGTTAAAATTTGTTTTCAATTATGTGTTAAATTATACAATAATCACATCTTTTGTTGAAATCTTTTATCTTTTTAATTAAATATTTAACTATGCTATTCAAAATTAGAGCTATGTTTTATATGTCAATTTTTTTTTAAACTATCAAAATCCAATTTAGATTCTAGACGGTGGTCCAACTGGGCAACCTGTCCAATATGCTATTGTTGGACAACCAGTATATCATAGATGGACATGCGATTCGGAAACCGTAGATACATTCTGCATGTTGGTACATTCATGCGTCGTTGATGATGGTAATGGTGATAGCATTGAATTGCTGAACGAAAATGGATGCGCCTTAGATAAATATCTCCTAAATAATTTGGAATATCCAACTGGTATAATTTTAATCTAAAATTTTTGATTATCTTTGCAAAGCTTTTAAGCCTATCTAAATATTATTAATTATTTTTGAGTTTTTAAATTAGTACAATTGCAAATTTTTAGGCAGATCTTTTGATTTTGAATTAAATTCTAGTATTTAATTAATATTTCTAAAAGTTGAAGTTCCATTTCAATCGGATTTTTTTTCTTTGCAATTTTATATCTAATGGCTGGACAAGAAGCGCATGTTTATAAGTATGCCGATCGACCGGAACTCTTTTATCAGTGTCAAATGACGATAAGCATCAAAGAGCCAAATAGTGAGTGTATTCGACCGGAATGTGCTGAACCACAAGGTTTTGGAGCTACTAAAACAGGGTCCGGACAGCGATCGCAAAGAAAACAGCGTGACATAAGCGCTTGGCATGATCCAACTAATACATTGGATGTTAGAACCGAATTAAGTACTTTAGAGATTATGGACGGAATGGTAAGTAACATTTTAAAACTAATTTTTTAAAATTATGTTTAATATTTATAATCGATATAAATATCCTATATTATTTGTAAGCTTATCATATTAATAGTTAATTTTGATGATTAATAGTTAATAACAATGATTGGGTCATTTATTCATTACCATGACAATATAATAATAAGTATTAATATTTAAATTATCATTTTGTTTCATTTTAATTAAAATGATTTCTCTATAATTTCAATCTTTTTTTTTCATTTCAGCAAATTACGAAATAATTTTTGTATTTATTCTAATTTTTCAATTGTAATAAAATTAATTAAAATACAGAAATAAAAATTAAACAAATTTAGGATAACGATGTATTGCAAAATTTAAAACAAAATAAAAATGAATTAATGGATATATCATCGGTACGTCTTGAATTTATTCCGCCAGATTTATGCTTCTCAAGTGGTGCATTTGCTGTAATTATTGTTATGTTTGGAACATTATTATGTGCTATTTTCATCATTGTTATTTTCTTTTGCCGACCAAAAAAATCAAAATTATGATTTCAAAAAATTTTTTCAATTCATTAATTATAATCACAACATTATCCAAGAAATCAATCATACATAATTTTTAGTATAATATTATGAATGGACAATTATTTATTTAATTAATTAAAAACAATTTAGCATATTTTATTAGAATGATATTGTTTGATAAATTACAGTATTACGAATTAATTCTGATCAAAACCATCAACTCATTTTGATCATTTGATCTTTTAATATCATTTCAGATCTTATTGTTGAAATTTTCAAATTTTAGATTTCAAATAGATATATTTTTTACCGGATATATAATATAATTAGAATTGGTTATTAATTCTTTGTTTTTAAATCATTGAATTGCAATGAAAGGACAAATATCTGTTATGTATTATCGTGCATTTATCATTAATGATTTATTATTTACGGTTAATAATTCTTATAAGCAATGATAACTTTACAACCTTAAACACTTTTATCATTTCCTTTTCTCTCATCAAATATATCATTTCTATCATTCATCATTCTTTATAATCGAATATCATTTAATTCAATCTACTCTTTTCATTTCGAATTTTTAAACTTTCTTTCTAGCAACTTTTCTTGATCTTCTCTTCTCTCATCGCTTGAAAAATTAATTTCTTTCATCATGATAAAGCTTTTCCTTTATCATTTTACAATATTTCAATCAATTATTTTCCAATATGCCACCATCTTCTATCTTTTCTTATCAACATATCAGTCAATTCAATCATTCAAAGTTAATTTTCATTCATACTATCAAATTTATCAGATTAAATTTTCATCAATTGTCCGATTTTATGGTCCATTTTACTAATTATCCTTATTTACTTGTCTTTTTTTTACAATAGCAACAAAAGCAAAGCGAAAAAACTAATTTCCTTAATTTATTAATTAATAGTTTTGCCTAATTAACGAAATTATCATTTTTTTATCATTTTCTATATTCCCATTAATTTATAATTTACATTAAATTTTTGAAAAATTAAATTCGAAGAAAACCGTCTTATTACATTTTCCTTCTTTTTCTTTTGTTTCATTTAATTATTTATTATCTGCAAATTGTTGTAAATCCCTTCACAATATTCCTATTTCTTTTTTTACTTATCCTCTTCTCGAACTTAACCTTTCACCTGACCCATTTCTTTTTAGTAATCTTTCATCAATAATAGTTATTGTTTTTCGACCAAAATTTCTCATTTAATTAACCTTCTGCTATTTGAATTCACAATCTCATTTAATAAGAAAAAACTTTTCAAATTTAGAACTTCAGAAATTGCCAGCTTATCTTTTATCTTACCTCAGCATACTTAAATTTACTTTCAAATTCATACAAGAATATAAAAAACCGAGCTTATTATAATGATAATAAAATAATAAGATGATTTTACAATATTATAAATGTTATTTTAACATTTTCTAAATCATTCAATTCTTTTAATTTATTTTACCACCTTAAAATATGATTCATCTAAGGAATTAAACAGTGAAAAGTTATTTGTTAATTTGAAACCATATATGATATTTAAATATTTCAATTATTTTTGATAATTATATCATCAATCATGGTGGCGTTTATATATTTAATCATTTATACAATCATGAAATTACTACAATTTAATTATGCTAATTCATAAATAATTCAAATTAATTAGATTTGAAATTATTCAAATCATTTTGCACTTTATTAATCTTAACTTATGCTAATGTAACCAACATAAGATATAATAGATTAACATTATCAATCGAAATTTAACATAAATATTATCAATGTAAATATAATAAATTAACATTATCAGCTGAGATTCAACACATAAAAAATATTGGAATACTTTTTTATATTTTTATTAAATATTAATTTTACGAAAATTAAAAATGAAAGAAAAAATAATGAAAAATTTTGCCTGACGATCGAATGATTAAATAATGAATGGATTAATTTTTAATAATTATTAATTAAAGTAATTTTCCATTGGCAACAATTTCTATTATTATCATATCAAACAGAAGAATGTAAAATTGTTATTTGTTATCATTTAATTAATTATGCACAAAAATTTTTCGTTTCTTTTCAACCGTAGAAATTGTTAATCTATGTTGTTAATTTGTATTTTATATCACTGATAAAAAGACGAACGTTGTATCTTTTGTTACCATAATTACATTGTTTGTTTATCATTCTATTTCTCTCTTATCAAAACAATGAAACATATGAATGATTGAATCAATTATTATGTGATAAAATATGAATGTAGAAGATAAGAAATAAGCTTATAATTGATATCATTTTGATAAAAAATGATTATTTTGATAAAGAATGAATAACTTTATTGCATGCAATTCAAAGTTTGCTAAAATGATAAATAAATTGCAATTATCAAAATTTGCTTTAAATTGATTATCAATTATTGCACAAATAATTGTTTCATTATTCATTTAATTAATTTTACAAATTTAGCAAAATACATTTTATTAAAAATGTCTCTAATTATATGACTTAAAATTTGGAAGCTAAAAGATATCTTTTGAAATGTTATTCCATTCATTAATTGTATTCGAGATATTCGTTGGATGATGGATGATACAATTATGCAAATGTTGCTGTAAATAGTATAAATATAATTCGTTTTCATTCTTATTCTAATCAAACAATTATTATTTCTTATCATGATAATTATAAATGTGATAATTATTAAATAATTTTTCTAATCAAATAGTTTATCCAATATTAGTAATACCTCAGGCATAATTGTTACTCGTTCTTTTTTTTGCAATTTCTTTATCAATTTCTGATGGAAATTTATATCATTATTTAGCACATTAGTGATTAGTGATATATGTGATATATGTAATCCCAAGTGATATATGTGCTTCATTTATTTATCATTTGAAAAAACTTTTATTAATTATGATAAACATAATTATGCGAAAAAAAAATGATGCTATCATTACTTAAATTTTATTACTTCAAAATTTGCTAAAATGTTATGAATCAGAAAAATTGAATTACATAAATATATTCATAAATTATCTCTGACAAATTTCAACCTCTATAATCAAATGTGATCGGTGCATAAAAATATCATATAGTTAATTTATACTGATTTTAAACAAACCAAAAGGATATGAGCTAATAAACATTTAATGATTAATTAAGATACAACTACATCGTCAATAAGTAATTGAAACGAAATATATATCGAAATATATTACAAGAATTTTTATCTATAAAATTAACACGAAAACGTTACCGGTCATATAATTATTTTATTGTTACAATGAAATTAGCTAATTTCAATAAAATTGTTGGACAACCGGTATACCATAAATGGACATACGATTCGGAAACCGTAGTTACATTCTGCATTATGATAAATATATTTATATCATAGCTTTTTCTTACAATTAACCCATAAACAGCAACTTTAATAAATAATATTAAAGTTTGGCAATATTATAACAAAAAAAGAAAAAGTGAAAAATGTTGTAAAGTTTTTCGTTTTGATAAAATATTGATAATTTCATAAAACAAAAAAAAAAAAACGGTAATTAAACAAAAATATTTTATAGTAATAAAATTCAAATCGGAACTAAAATATTTCATATTTTAGATCTGATTGAAAAATTAATTTAAAATAAATTCATCGAATGATTAACTTCTTTATTTTCAATAATTCAACAACAGCCTTTTAATTCCAAACATATTTATTTTTCCTTTTTCTTTGTAATGATAAGAAAATTCTTGTTTCTTTTCAATTTACTCTCATGATACTTCGCGATCATACAACAATTGTAAATGAGATGATAAGATGATAGGATAAACCTGTTAAAGTGAAAGATTTCCTTTTTTTAATATCACTCTTAATTTATCATCATTTTAATTCATCAACGTTTAATAGATATTTTGTTTTTTTTTGTTGTTTGTCTAATTTTTCAATATTAAATCTGTAATTTTTATCGATACGTATTCCATTCTTCCCATTTCTTTTCTATCTAAAAAATAAATTTTAACAAAATTAAAAATCGATTAAATTAAAATACGAATTAAAGTATGCCAACAAAAAGAAGTAATCACTTTGTAATAAATACCATAATTCTGCAATTTATAGAAATAAGTACCTAGTTTTTAGTGATAACTGAGTAAAATTGCTAATCCTACTTCATTTTAACTGCTTCTTGCGCGCTTGCGCAGAAACTAAATCGATTATCAAATAATTTTACATGGGTTTGAAAATGAAATTACCCG